CAGCCCATGATGGACCAGTCAAGAGCAGGAACCTACCCAGGCTACTTTTATGAAAGCATTAGGAATGCTCTTCTTTGTTCATCAGACCTGAATACTGACTGCCGTATTGGATGTATCCCGTGTACGAGAACTGTCCCCATAAGATGTTGTGTGTTTAAAAAAACAAAACGTTTGTTTTGGTAAGGACAGCATTAATATTACACACACACACACCCACACACAAATATATACACATATATAAGAGGCCCCTGAGACAATCCAGCACTAACTGCATGGTGTAAGGCTTTCAAGGAAAGCTTACAAGTGGCTGGAATAGTATACAGCAGATCCCGGGAAATACACCAGACATCTCGGTCCAGAAGATTACAGTTCTAGGAATAGCAAAGATGCTGTGCAGAACCCTCAAGCTTGGAGGAAAAAATGGGGGAAGACTGCCCGCGATGGATGAGATAAGAGTTTCTTTACATTGGTTCTGCACCTTAGTTTGCTTTCTTTTTTTTATCTCTGCTTTCCCTTCGTTACCTGTATATTAAAAGAAATATATATTTTGTCTTTTAAAAACATCACTCACCTAAATGACTGCAAAGGATGGGATTTATGTCTAATATATCTTTTTTATGATATATCTGTACGTTTTTCTATATGCTGAAACTATTTTATTAAGAAAAAAATAAGAAACAAAAACAGGTTCTGGGTTGGATTCTTTTTGCATGGAGTTTGCACAGGACAAGTAATTTTTGAACAGGAGGTGCTGTGAAAATGTCTTTGTTTTTTTTTGGAGAAAAGACCTATGAGCCTATTGGCCTATTTAAAATACAATTAAACTAAGTAATTAAATAGACTGAGATTTACTACTTTATTGTCATATACACTTCAGTGCACACAACCAGGGTTTGTAACACATAGACAGCATCAGTTCTCCCATGAATATATGTGCTATTAATTAAACTTCACAATAACATAATAAAGTAGATTTGGTCAGCTGCCATCAACCTGAGTCACTGTGTTCATGGCCGTTTCTCAATTCACGAGAACGCGAGTACGTACTCGCGTTCTCGTCAAGTCCGTTCTTGGCGAGAACGCAGGAAGATCGGACTTGACGAGAACGCGAGCACGCAAGCACGTATGTGTATTGGAGCAGAAGCGTACTCGTGACATCATCACAGGCAACGTTGTTTAGCATTTCTTTAACAGTCAAAACTATTTATTCCCTACACAAAACATTTTGAAAACAATATTTTTAATTTCTAAAGCTTAAAAAACATTAAAAAAAATTACCAAACCGCAAAAAATCGCCATCAGAACGAGCGGTAGTTCACACATAACTAGACCGAGAGAAGTGCACTACAGACGGGGTAAATTTAGCTCTGGCTGCGGTTAGCCTCGGAGGTCTGCTGGTCCCTCTGGTCCGCTCAACGTCTGACTTTTTTTTTTTATTTCGCACTAACTCTGTAAATAGACCACACAGGGAGGCTTAAATGTATAATGTTATCGCCTCAAACGATTTCAAAACGTACTTTTGAAGAACAACAGCAGCAGAAAAGGGAATGTTTAACTTAACACTGTGAGCGCTGTCTGGAATCAAGCTGCGGCCGCGGGGCATTCTGGGGAAGCGGTCAGTCTGAAGAACGCACAAGTCTGCTCTGATGCATGCTCGATAAAGAGGGCGGGGTGAAAACAACATCCGGGGATTTGATGCGTTCTCGATCTGGCGTTCTTGAGAATTGGAACGGTACTCGGGCTGAGGCTGATGACGTGTCACGAGTACACGAGCACATGAGAACGCTCAAGAACGCATATTGAGAAACGCCCCATGTCACATGTGACTCTATTAACTCCAAAATCCTTTTACACAAACCACAAGGAAATAATTATATTATTAAACAATTTAAATGTTATTGAACAGTTCTCCACATCCATTACACAAAGAACACAAGATCAAAATAACACTAGAATACCATGGTTACTTTAAACTGCACAAATAGATATTCAATTGCGCGGCAGCACCATGCTCTAACTTTGAGCTACAGGCAAGGTGCCCTGGTTATAGGTGTCCAAATGTTGAGGTTTGCTCTGGGGTCATGGGGATAAAGTTTCTCAATGTATTTTTGTAACATATTTCCTCCTCGTTTTAATCATTAGACTATGTAGATTTACTAGTCTGCTGCCATGAGCAGGATATCTCTACGGCGACAACTAGCTTGCTTGATGTAGCCATGACAACGTCATTTCCATGAAACTGTGTTGATTAGGCCTCAAAATAATAAATACGAATAAACGTAATAGTAAAATAAAAAAGTAAAAATCATTTCCCAAAATATTTTAAAGAATTTTATAAAGTAGTATTATTAATAAATTTATTATTTTTTTATCTCACCACTTCCCATGGCCATGACTTTGCATCTTCTCCCCATGCTTGCGTGGGTTATCTCCAGGTACTCCAGCGTTTTACCAAAGTTTAAAACCATGACTGTTAGGTTAATTAGCTTCTGTAAATTGTCCGTAGATGTGAGTGTGTGTGTGAATGGTTGGGTGTGTCTCTGTTTGCCGTGTGACAAACTGGTGACCTGTACAGGATGTACCTCACCTCTCACCCATGGACTGTCAGGGATAGGAGCCCTGCCAGGGATGGATGGATGGATGGATGGATGGATGGATGGATGGATGGATGGATGGATGGATAGATGGATGGATACACAAAGGGGAAGATTATGTAATATACTTATGCATATTGAGTCTGCTATTATATAATGTTTTGTATCTAAATCCTAGAGTGCAATGAAATATATTCCTACTGGTGCCAGTTGATGGTAATCTCGGTGTGTCACCATGATGTAGTGCTGAAGAATAGAAAATGACCAAAAAGATACACTAACAATGAAACAGGTGCAACACAGATCCAAAGATCACAGATCTAATTACATTTTTCATTTCAATTGTGAATAGAACAATTAATGTTTTCCAAACAGACATAATTGCCCGAAAGCCACAGAGCAAGGCAGGGGATCAGCCTTGAATTTTAACAGTTTGGGACGCCAAGCCAGAAGAGAGTAAAAGGACAACTGACCCCTACATAACTAATTTGTTTCGTATTGATTTTTTGAAAGTTGCTAGGGCAACGTATTTGTTTGGTAATCAAACACAAAAAAATCAAAAATAACAACAAAAAGCATGTATCTGTCTTTCAAATGTTATTAGAAATAAAAACATTGCAGTTTAAAAAATCAATTTATGGCTTTCTTTTTCAGATGTGTTAAGTGTCTACTGGCCTTGTAGTCCAGGAGGTGTTCTAACACATGACTGATTTCTGCTTCATTATGTCTGCTAATGAGACAGGCTGTTCTCAGTTCAAATGCAACCTCACTCATTTTTGTCTATCTTCAATTCGCTTAAGCTCACCTTCAGGGCAACGCCAACCTGTGTGCTTTGCTTCCCTTCGTTTAATGTGTGTTTTTTTCCTTTGTTTTGTGCTTCTCTCCTATTTCTAAAAGCAGTGTTCAGCCCAAATAAAGTAGTGTTATGCAGTGTTTGTTCACCTGTATATTCTTTAAATTGCAGATAAAGGTAATAGAATAATTGCCTTACAATAATAATGTGACTATAATCATATTTTATATTTACAATGTCAATTTACAAACCAAGAGGTACCTAAAGGGCTGTGCAGTTGAATAACATTTCCAATAAAAATATAACAGCAGAAGGTACATAAAAACGAACAAACTAACAAATAACAACACGGTTGACATTCTAGTGTATATATATATATATATATATATATATATATATATATATATATATATATATATATATATATATATATATATATATATATATATATATATATATATATATATATATATATATACTGTTTTCTCACCCCTCGTGGGGTGGTATGTGTCATCCTCAAGCTCGGGTCCTCTACCAGAGGCCTGGGAGTTTGAGGGTTCTGCGCAGTATCTTAGCTGTTCCTAGGACTGCGCTCTTCTGGACAGAGACCTCTGATGTTTTACCTGGAATCTGCTGTAGCCACTCTCCCAGTTTGGGGGTCACAGCCCCCAGTGCTCCAATTACCACTGGCACCACTGCTGCTCTTACTTTCCACATCTTTTCTAGCTCCTCTTTCAGTCCTTGGTATTTCTCAAGCTTCTCGTGTTCTTTCTTCTTGATGTTGCTGTCGCTTGGGATTGCCACATCTATCACTACTGCCTTCTTGTGCTGTTTGTCGATCAACACGATGTCTGGTTGGTTAGCCATCACCTGTTTGTCAGTCTGGATCTTGAAGTCCCATAGGATCTTAGCTCGGTCATTCTCAACTACCTTAGGAGGTGTCTTCCATTTTGACCTTGGGACTTCCAGCCCATACTCATGGCAGATGTTCCTGTACACTATGACAGCTACCTGGTTGTGGCGTTCCATGTATGCACTTCCTGCCTGCATTTTACACCCTGCTGTTATGTGCTGTATTGTTTCAGAGGCATCTTATATATATATATATATATATATATATATATATATATATATATATATATATATATATATATATATATATATATATATATATATATATATATATATATATATATATATACCAGGAATATATACAATATATTATATATATACCAGGAAATGGTAGTTTGTCCTGATCTTGGCAGACATATGCACCTGTCACTGTGAAGGAGTGATAATATCCCAGCATTTTGAATGGGAATTATTTTGAGGAGGTTAACTATATATAGTCCGTTTAGATGACTGAATAGAGAATAACGCCTGTAGGTGGCAACCATACCTCATCAACAACTAAATCACACGCACACGCGCACTGCAGGTACACACAAGTGCATATCCACGCGCATTAGATCCGCGCTTTATACATTAACGCTATTGATCCCTGATAATTAATGACCACTGGGTGATTTAAATGGGCAGCTGGACGCGCAGGCAAAGTGGTCAAAGTTAAAGTGGTCCCTGGGCAATATGGGAACCAGCACGCGCGTCAACCCATGCGCAACAAACACAAGCTTGTGAGTCACAAGCGCGCACGGTAGATCTGAGCCTGGAGACGATTTGAGCGCGCTCTCTATTCAAGTCATGGACGGCAGCGGGCTGGGGGACCATTAGGAGCCGCTGGCAAATAGACGCTTTATTGCAACACACGGACGCTGAAGCCAGAACCACGCAAACTGGACCCGCAATCCCTTACAAGCGGAATTATCTCCATTGTAATCAATAAACCGAATCGCTTTGGCGAGTGGATAAAACATCTCGCCCCGTTGAATCTTCTTGATAGAAAACGCTGTATGCCATATGCTCTGCGAATTTCAGTGCAGCCTATGGCAAACAATTTGTCCCGATGCGGAGCCTCTTATAGATACAGGAGGACGGATATCCTTCATTTTATCCAATAGGCATTTTGAGTTTTTTATTTGTTGTTTTCTTTTGGATGCTTGTTTTATCTCTTGCTGCGCTGACCTTATTCACAGTGCTATTAATTGGTAAACGTTGACTGTCATGCGGTAATGAACATTTCATTTGGGGAAAACCCTTTATTTTTGATTACTTTGTGCTCTTTGTGTCTTGTTTTTTGGATCGATTTATTCTGTGGATTCGCCGAGGAGACTGTTTTTTTAGGGTGAGAAGCGGCCTGTATACGGACTTCATTCACCGTTAAAAAAAAAAAAAAAAAAAAAAAACTGCAGGATTTTCCTCCTCCTCAGTCCAGATGAATGCCTTCAAGTTGGGCAGGCTCCTGCTGCTCTTCTGAGGGTTTAGCATGGTGATCACCCCGCAGATGAACTCAACTCTCTCTGAGTTTTTGGCGTTTTTCGCAGGCGAGAAATCTTGACTTGTGATCGAGAGAGACGCGGACTGCAGCAGCCTCCAGCCCCCCTTTTCACATGGAGATTTGTGTCTCGGTTGTACTGCAAATCTTTAAAACGTGGACGGGGGCCCTGATGATTTTTCCTGCGCTGTTGACGTCCTCGAGTTCTTTTATTCGAAAAGATGCGTAAGTATTTCAGTTAAATCTGTTCCTTTTAGCCCCTTTTTTTGGTTGCTCGGAACTATCTCCTATCGCCACTTACTCATAATTTACGCTCAGCTTATCCATTTAGATGCAAACGTAAACACTTTCACGGTTTTATCTCATCTGCGTGGAAAGGTTCAACAATCTGTCGCATTCTCTGTCAGCAATATGCTTTAGTTTTTCTTTGAGTGGCTTTGGCAGATTTAGATATATGCAGATAAGGATAAGGTTGGTTGAAAGGTAACTGGTGCAACAAATTCTCTCCCTGAGCGCTTGATACAATCCGTGAGTCTGTATTAGTCCCTGTTGCCAGTAGGACATTACTGATAGAAAAAGGCCTACGTCATATGGTAATTCAAATTCAGTTCAGGTATTCTCAGCATACACGTTTGCAGCAAAAAGGGCTCCGGATTGGCCAGGTGAACTGGCTCGTCCATGTGAAGGGCGCTTTGAGTTTGAAGAGCAGAGTCATGTTTTAAACCAAAAAGCTAAATCTTCCCCTCCAAAACCCTTTATTTTATTCAACTCTACTTTATTTCATTTCATTTTGTCCTTGTTAGTTTTGACCTTAGTATAGCAAAAACAAAAACCTTAGTTAATGCGCCTCGAGCAGCAGGAGCCTCTTGCCGCCCTGCCACCCCTTGCATCCCTTCTACCACAGCTGGAGAAGGTTACCAACAAAAACAGGTTACTACCAACAAAAACAGGTTCTTTTGAATCTAAAATGTTGCTTTGGTGAAACTGCTTTAAAAAGACGTGGTCCATGCAGGAGCTGTCCATCAGTGTGTGGTGCTGAAAAAGCTCTGCTTGGAGTGGTTTGAAGAGAGTCCTGCATTTACAGTACTGACATTGCAACTGAAATTGCTGCTGCAGCCAAAAGCTTTCCACTTAAACCGTAACTGACTCATCGTCAAGTATGCCAAACCATATTCACATCTGGCAATTTTATGGCAAGCCTGTAAAATGAAGGACATGCTCTGAGTGAGGAGAGTTGGTTACCACAATGTTTTCATGCTTGTATGAACACAGCTGGCACAATCTACAGCATATTCTTTAAGAGCATCTTTAGCTACCTTAGCTTTTGAAGAACAGTTATTCACTTAAGGTTACTTGTTATAACAACATTTAGAATTTCAGAAAACCTAGAATATATATAATTTAAGGGTTGATAATGATTTATATATATAGTTATTACATCTGTATCAAATATGTTTGTACCATATTCCTTATAAATAGGTGATGTATTTGCTCAGTGATGTTCTCTTTCTAAAAATTGTTTAAAGATCTGTCTATATATCTCATAAATGGAATGTAAACACTATTGAACAAACACCTGTTAGACTCTGTGTAGGAAAATTGGCCACCTGATGAGCCACACTGTGCTTCTAAATGTTCTTAGAAGAAAAATGAAGTTCAATGAAGGGATATGCATCCGCAGACAGAAGTGTTGTGTTCTGCTTGGTTAACAATGTGGAGCCATTAAGTTAAAAAAACATTAGATTCAAGCTTTTGCAGCAAGGCCCAGATTCTTGTCATGGCATCAGGTTTGCAGGTTTATTACCGTTTAATTGTTTAGTCATCAGGAGACAAACAGCTTAACACAAGGAATGTGATCACCATGACAAACGCTGTGGAAGTTTGGCATTTACCTGCCTGCCAAGGGACTGAATGGAGAAAACCTGTCGGAGCCGCTCACTACAGCAGCCCCGACAGAAGCCCTCACTGTGGGAAATGAGCCCTTGGGCGAATTAATTTCTCTTCATGTGTGATACACATGTAGTCAACCACTGGTAGAGAGCAGGGTGAATGGTGACTCATTTATAAAGGCTTTTTCCTCACACTAAAACATGGGTTTTGTTCTCCAATTATCTACTGCAAAAAGGGTAATTTATGATTTCTGCAGTAATATTCCTCCATAAATTCCTTGTAATATGCTCTACCTTACTCCTCTGACACATATTGTGAGCTGAGAGATTTTCTCATATCAGTTTTCTTCTAGTTTATTTTTTTATATAATGTAAATCTCCAGTTATTTACTATGACATTTTAATGCAGTCATCATCCAATACAATTCAGCCAAAGACATATATTATAAAGGTTCCAGCTAAGTGTACTTGAACAATCAGCCCTTTTTTGACATTCATGCTTCTTTTTTAAATAGAGCCGCAGGAATCTAAATAATGAGCAACTGGGTTTGCCCAGGGTTTTCACACCACGCTAAGACTGCTGGGATGTTAATCGTCAAGTAATATGTAGTGCTGGTTGCTCTCATGTACAATTTTCTTTGCTCAGATTTTGAATGGTGAGTCACACAAATAAGTATTCTTGGCTCCCCAAAGCTTTGTGTTCTAGGGTCAATGAGATAAAGCTAAAGAGAATTTGTTTGTGCCACAGCCAAGTCTGAGTCTAATTTCGGGTTGACATCTTGGAAAAAGAAGTAAGCTGGCTGGACTTGGCTTAATGCTTGGCTTTGGTGGTTTAGATACGCATTAAAGAAAGAACCCGCGCTAAAGATAGTATACAAAGGGACAAGAGTTTAAAAAAAAGGTTGATGAGTTATTAAGAAAATTCCTAATACATTCTCCAGATGCCTGGTTGAAAGTATGTCGTGCATGTTGTTTTTCCCGGAGTCAAATTCAACCATGCTTTGTCAGATTGCCCCATGTTTGAAAAAATAACAGGTACAGAGGTGTGTTTCTGTGTTTATGCCTGTTAGGAGTAAAGACCTGTTTAAGTTGTTACTTCTCTGTAGATCAGTGTCAGCTGGGATTGGCTCTAGCCCATTGTTACCAATTAGGGATCAACCACGTGTGCTGAATAGAATTATCTTTTCTTGTTGCAATAATGAGTCCTTCTGATTTAGACACAGTAGTGTTTGAATTTGAAAAGGAAAGCCGAACCATTATTGTACATTGATTTATAAAAAATAACCAATAATAACAATAATAATAATCAACCAAACCCTTGAATGCCTTTTGACAATGTCTGACATAGTTGATTATTTGTATGAATATGTATCTCGGATTTTCACACATATGCTTTCAGAATCCTTAAATTTTTGCATTAAACTGCCCCACTTGTTAAGTTACATCCTAGAAAAGTGATGAAAGATGTTCCCAACCGAAACAGTGATTGATACCACCACTCATTCCCCACCTTCAATGTAGCTACAATGTATTTAAAGGAATAGTACACCCAAAACATGATTAGCCTTCATTTTCTACTCACCCCCATGCTGAACGACACTCTGGAGTACTTTTTTGATATCTCAAATGCATCTGGAGATACACTACTGTATCTGTACTGTTTATGCTCTAAAAACATTCTAAATGACTTCGTTTCGAGTAAATTCTGGATGCTACCCACTCAGGACACTTGGAATACATTGGACGAGCAGTATGGAGGAATATTGAAACGTTTTTTGTGGACTTTTATGGACCTTTCTGCCTCGGGCGCTGGGCACCTCCATTATTTGAATGTCAGCAGACAGCAAGAAGCCTCCCAGATCTCCAGATGCATTTGAGATATCAACAAAGTACTCCAGAGTGTTGTTCAGCATGGGGGTGAGTAGAAAATGAAGGCTAATCATGTTTTGGGTGTACTATTCCTTCAAGGTGGGGCAGCTTGCAGAACCTTAAGTCCTTCACTTTCACTGCACTTCCCAAGAAGACAATGACGGCCATATTTATAGTTGTACTGTATAGAAATTAAATGAGCAGAGAGCTTCAATCATTTCAGAAATACACTATTTAAAACAACTATAGTTGGCAAGCAAAGACAATCCCTGTGATTATCTAAATGCAAGACCTAATTTGTGTTGGTCTACTTTATTAGGAAAGAAAAGATCTATCAATCTGTCCATCCATCCGTCCGTCCATCTGCCCATCTTTACAGTAAAGGTATAGCATTCTGCAAACTACAAACTTGAAAACTAATATTAATAAGTTCAGTTTAAGTAAGTTTCCTAAAAAGTTTTAAAACATTAAATTAGTGTGATTATTTTTCAAAGCAAAAATTGGATCACATTGTAATTTTATTATACATGTTTGTACATGTTTGTAATATAATCCTGTAAAACTAAGATAATTCTGTTAAACCATAAGATTTTCCACTGTCCTATGCCTAATTCCCTATAATAATAATCATGGCACTGGCATCACTTTTATTTATCAAATGATTCACCTTCAAGCAGTAATAATTGACCTTGATTATATATTTGTGTGAACTCCAACACCTTCCTTTTTTGCTGAACTGTGTTAAATGGATTTATGGTTGATTTTTTTTAAAGCTTATAGTTTCTTGTCAACAAGAAAAAATATATTTATCTGATACATTTCCACTGTGCTCTGCATTACACTTTCATGGTTTGTGACTGATGGTGGCAGTCCTTGAGGAATATTCTTTATGATATGCAGTATATGTTTTGTTGTTTCATCAATTTACAGTGGTGCCTCATCATAATATAGCACGATCTGAGGATAGAATATGGTAGTGTGGGTAATTTGTATCATATTTTCTGTCTGAATAAACTTGAAAGGCAGGTAAGACAAAGTTTACATATTTAAATATATAGACAAAATTAAATACATTGACATATGTCTTCATAGTATCCGTCCTTGTGACATAAAAAAGAGGAAAAATTCTTTAGATTAGACTGCCTTCCAGCCAGCTCCATTTTGATAGATTGCTTCTGCTATCTTTCCAGTAATACCTCTAGAAAACATGTGTTGGTGTCGAGTCAAGGGACAGGGTGATCTCAGTTGGACTGCTCGGGTGTGAAAGAGTCCAAGGCATGCCAGGCTGGAGAGAGAGTTAGCGTTCACTGTGGCAGCTTAAGTTATGCCTTTGTACACCAGAAAGGGGATTATTCAGTGAATCCCGCTCTGTGTCATTCACAATTTTCTTTTCCAAATCTATGAATATGACTGTTGTGTATGAAGAAATAAGATTCACTCTCTGTATAATGTGCTATTTCATTACAA